AACACTCATATATGTTCCAATGGCGAGAGACCTCTTGGTTCATGGGGAGCCTGTTTCTCCAGGTATTGTTTCCCACCCTTTCTTATTTGTGATTGTCACATCACTTTGGCACTCAATCTCTTTTTTCTCTAAAAAGCCCTTTCCTTACTTTTCCTCTTAGCGCATATTTCTCTATTATTTAATCTCTCTTATTTTTATATCCCTCTCTTGAGTGGTTGATGGATAAGCATGAAGTTGTGGGCTCTTGCCCCTAGTATTGTACTAGATTCTCCTTTTTTTGCTCACAACTAGTGAGCTCTCAAACAGAGGGGTTGTGACGCAACTAGATGTTCAGCAGATCTGTAACTGACATCAGTTGACGATGCTCTTGGCCAGTTTGGATGTGATCAGACTTGTCCACATGAGAGAGTGGAATACCCTACTCCATTTCCAGTTCGTGCTTTGCACTTGGCTTGGTACCTCGTCGCTTGGAGGATGACAGAGTCTTCCGCCCTCTGTTGTTGGCTTCAGTTATGCCCTTTCTGGCGAGTACGTTGACAATGGGGAAAAGACAGAAAACTTGACTCGACTATGCCCCTAGTTCATCATTTTGACCATTTTTTTTTTGGCTTTCTGCTAAAACAATTTTAACCAACATGAGAGTTAGATTAACATACTTGTTCGATTTTCTGATTTGAAATCATGTAAGTCAGGTTGGGAGTACTAAAAACTTTCCTTTTTTGGGTCCAAGATATGGTCTAGTTTTGGAAAAATAGAATAATTTTTGAGAAAATTAGTCAACTTCATTAAAAAATCCTCAAAATTGTTTTTGCAAATGGCCATTGCTCAACCAACATGGAATTTACTCTTGAGATGTGCAATCTCAGATCTGAACTTGATTTGTCTTGCAGCTGAATCTTTCTAACGGAATAGGACAGTTCGATTTTGAACGAAGCTGAGCCAATTTGCACATGGATAGGATAGCTAAGTTTGAACAAGGATAAGCCAATCAACATGGATGAGCCAAGCAAGCTGAAAATGGTTGGGGCCGAACTTCAAGATGAAGTTGCCTACGTATCCCAAAGATGGGAATCAGGTCGTATGTAGTTCCGGGTTAAGGTACACTTGGGTGTTGGCACTCTTCTTTTACACTCTAACTTTTGCCGAAGCTGCCCTTTCGGGTTTTCAACCTTGCGAGCTCTCTTTTTCTTTTCTTTTCTTTTCATTTTTCTTTCTTCTTCTTTTCTTGTCTTCTTTTCTTTTTCTTTCTTTCCATTTTTTCATTTTTTTTTTTTTCTTTTTCTTTTCTCTACTCTAACTTTTGCCTGGGTTGCCCTTCCAGGTTTTTAGCCCAGTGAGCCTCTCAAGGATAGAAAATTTTAACTTGTACATGTTGAATGGTCATAGGATCTCTAAGCCATCTGAATCCATGAGAATGGTTGTTGCTGCTGACTAAATAGTCTTGATGATGTAAGAGCCCATCCAATTGGATCTGAATTTGCCCCTAGTGTTGTGGATATGAACTTGATTGTCCTTCAACAAAAATTTTCTTTTTTTCTTTTTGTGGGATTTTTGCTTTCTTGTCGATCTCCATTGATTTGTAGAATGACCCATCTTTGGAATCTTTGAGCACATCTAACATTTTTGCCCCTAGTTCAAGGGCTACTTTTGATATAGCTTTGCAAGCTTCCTTTGATGACATTTGACCTTCTTGATCTAACGTTCTTGCCCTTAGTTCAAGGGTTGCTTCCGGTCTGGCCATACAAGCCTTATATTGTGATTAATCATTTGAACATTCTTAGTCAAAGTTCAAAGGTTTGAAAGCAAATGGGCCGAGACTTGAGGCTGAGAGCGATCCTATGCTGCACAATCTTGAGAGTGATTCCACGCATGTCTTCGTAGGACCACACAAAATATTTTTTGAAATCTTTTAATAAAGCGACTAGTCGCTCAGGCTCCTCTGAAGACAATGCAGAATCAATCTAAATCAAGACAGGATCCTTCTCAGTACTCACATTAACAAACATGATCTCATTCATTTAAGGGCTTAGCATGCCTCTCTTTCTCTTAGTCGATCAAATTTTTGCAAATTCTGAGGAATTCCTTCCTCTTTGTTTTCATCATAGTGTTAGAAAAGTTTTGAAAAACTTAGGTCAATGCAATGATTTCAAGGCACAGAAAAGTAGGTGAAATCTTCGCCGTTTCATTCAAAACTTTTGGCTCAACTGGCTCCATGATAGAAACAGACTTAAAAGAAAGAGCGAAAAGACAAAGAAAACAAACAGGGAAGTAATGCTTGAGTTAATACGCTCGAAATCACCAACCTCCGATGCAACAAGACAGACTCCAAAGAAAAAGACTGACTTAATACAAAAAACTCACTCAATACAACACAACAAGACTGACCCAATACCTAAGTGATGCTCGAGTGTCGACCGGCTAGAATTGGTGGCCGACCGTCCACCAATAGTGGCCAACCGTCCACAGATGGTAATTTTCTGCCATAGAAAAATATGCTTCCAGGCCCGACTTCAAATGGGCATATCTCCCTCATCTGGACTCCGTTGTAGGTTATTCTTGAGCGTAAATTGAAGCCCCATAAGTCTACTTTCCAATGGTGGTAGCTCACATCTAAATTCTTAGTGTGTAAAGAGATATGCCTATTTTAGTGAATGTTGCTCATTTTTGTCTTAACCGGATGGATGCCTAACTTGCAACAACCATATCTCCCTCATCCAGACTCGGGCTTAGAAGATTCTTTAGTGTAAAATGAAGCCCCAGAAGTCCACTTTCCAATGGTGGTGGCCTCACAGCTTAAGTCCAAGTGTACAAAAGGATAGACTTGATTTAGTGAAGGCTACGCGGTTCTCTCTTAACGGTTTATGCCCAACTTCTTCCCCAACTAGGTTTCTTCCCTCTTCTCCAATTTTCTTCAACTCCAAACCTCTAAATAAGATGTTTTAAAATATTTTTGAAAGAGTTCACCTCTCTTCCATTTATTTCCACTTTGTCTTTACCCGGTTTATCGAAAAGTGCAATTTTTAACAAAATGCGAGCCTCGGAACATCGTAGAAACTTTTGGGAAAAATATTTTGAAAAATGGGGTTTTATGGTCTAAAATGATTTTGGTCAAAGTAGTTTTGGTCCAAAATGGGGTGCGAGGTTGGGATTTAGAAGCTCTTCTTGCTGAAGGAATCGAACATTTGCGCAGCACAACTTTCATCATCGAGTGATCAATCAGTGACACCCAAGTTTTAAGGGCGGTAAAAAATGGAGTGTCTACAGTCGAAGAAATACTCACTAGGCTAAAACCGCCCGAGTATAGTGAGATCAAGCTTGTCTTCAATGGAATTAAATGAATGCAACCAAAAGTTTGCTCCATTATTGATTCTTGCCTATTATAAAATCATAAATGAGCATTACTTATAATCTAAAGCAACTTGATAATGCAAATACTATAAGAATTTTTAATGAATAATCTATATGTTCAAATTAAGTATTTGATTACAACAAGACCCTAGATGACATAGCCCTAACTCCTAAACCAGGAAAGGAAAACACAATCACACCTATACACAATCACACCTATAATTTGTACAACCACAATCATGCTAAATATAGAATATACACAATACACAATATATTCTGACACACTCAAACTCAAGGTGTTTTAGCAGAAAACATTGAGAGTTTGCTAAGAAGAAATTGAAACCAAGCGGTAGTGTGAGTCTTAGTAAAGAAGTCCGCAAGTTGCGAAGCCAAATAGAAGAATGGAAGCGAGATAGAGCCAGAGTGCAAATGTTGTTGGACAAAGTGACAATCAATCTCGATGTGTTTCGTTTGTTCATGGAAGACAACATTGTGGACAATCTGAATAGTAGTGTGGTTGTGACAATAGAGAGAGGTCGGAGAAGACTGATGGACACCAAAATTAGACAGGAGACAACGAAGCCAAACAATCTTAGTAGTGGCATAAGCCATAGCACGATACTCAACTTTGGTAGTAGAGCGAGCAACAACTGATTGTTTCTTGCTTTTCCAAGAGATCCAGGAATCACAAAGAAACATACTAAAACCAAATGTAGACTTGCAATCAATAACATCACCAGTCCAATCAGAATCAACATAGGCCACCAAGTCCAAAGAGAAAGTAGAGGACAATAGTAAGCCTTGAAAGATGGTACCCCTGAGATAGTGAAGAATATGAGCCAAAGCAGCCCAATGGTTAGAGCGAAGAGCAGAAATGAATTGACCAACCATATGAACAACAGAAGCAAGATCAGGACGAATAACAGTCAAATAATCTAAATGACCCACAAGCTCTTAATAGTGAGGGGATTAATAGTGAGGAATTGTTAAATTATTTTTATATAAAATAATAAAACAAATAAAAAAATATAAAAAAATAAACATTATATTTAAAAAAAAATTCCCAATATATAAAAAATAAAAAAAATAAAAAATTTCTAATCCTCTCACTATTTTTCTAATACCATCTTTACCTCCTCCTTACCAATCCCCCTTCCTCCTCCTTGCTAATACCAAGGGATTACTAATCTCCTCCCTATCTCTCAAAACAAGCACTCCATTCTCAATCCTCTCCTCACTATCAAACCCAATCTCCTCCCCATAACCCTGAACAAACAGGGCCTTAGAGTGTTCGGTGTGTTTAGTGTGGAGGAGAGAGTTATACTATGTGCTATTGCCACAAAAGAAAATTCTTTTGCCTGGGCAAAAGCAACTGTGATTATTAGAATTGATAAACCAGACGTAGGGGTGTTTGGTAGGAATTATACAAGTAGTTTATAATTTATTTTAATTTGTGAGTTTCTATCAAATTGATATAGTTTTTACTTATAGCTTATTGGGTAGAAATAATTTAAATAAGTTGAAAAAGTTAATTTTTCAAAAGTTTAGGGAGATGTACTTTTAGTTTCTACTTTCTGATTATCAGTTTTTAGTTTAAAGGGTAAATTACACTTACACCCAAGGTTTTGAAAAGCGGTTGCGGTAACCGTTATGGTGGCCGTAACGCAGTTGCAATTGCGGGGTGTAAAGGTCATAGCGTAACGGTTGTGGTAACCAGAACTGTGAATTTTTTTTATTTTTTACACAATTTGAAAAAAATTTATCGATACGTATATTTTTTTTTTCCATGATCATATTTATTGGGTTTTAAAATAAATATTGATCAATTTTGTATATTTTTAAGTATGATCTAATATATTTCATATTTTTAAATCACTATAAACTGAGTTTTTTACATTTTATTTTAATAATTAATGATTTTATATTATACACAAAATCAATCACTAACTATTATATATAAGATAAACAATGACAAAAGTAAGAGAATAAATAAGAGCTTAAATATATATATTTATATATTTTTTAATCAAGTCAAATAGATAATGACCACACTTATTATTATTATTATTATTTTTCATCTTCCCTCTTCTCTCTCTCTCTCTCTCTCTCTTTATTTTTTGCTCCTCCATCTTCTCTCTTGTCTCTCTATCCTTCTTTTCCCAATTTCCGCTTTTTTTTTTTTGTGTTTTTTTCGAAAGAAGCAGTTTGGAACCATTACATAACGATGCGTAACAAGTCGTTATGGCGCCATTACAACTGCTACAGTAACTGCTATGGCCAACACACTTGTGAATCTCAATCACACTACAAAAGCGGCCGTAACGGGTGATAGTAACCACCACAACCGTTATGTAATGGCGTTACGTAACGGTTGTGGCCACTTTTTAAAACCTTGCTTACACCCCTGAAATTTGGATTTAATATATATCACATCTGATGTTTCGAAAATTACACTAACCCCTCTGTCATTGTAATTATTTAAACGGAATGAAATATTGAACTCATGTACTCTTTTTTTTTCTTACTTTGCTTTACTTTTTTTTTTTTTTTTTAAATTTTTTAAATGTAGTTTTCTCTGTTTTTTTGTTAGAAATTGTTACATTTTATATAAGTAGGAGTTTGTGAAATGAGACTATTAACCGCATGGGTAAGAATGTAATTTTTAGAATGTCAAAGTATGATTTACCCAATTTTAAAAATAATTTTCACCAAACATCCCATAGAAGTTAAAAGTATCTTTTAGCCAATTTTTAAATTTTTTAAATTTATTTAAATTATTCTTACCTAATAAACTATAAGCAAAATCGTACCAAATAGTCTAGTATGAATTTCTAAAATAAAAAAAAAATTATAAATAACTCAAATAAATTACACCAAATACTTTAAGATCTTAATTTGATTTTTAAATTT